CCGAGTCCCATAAACGCCTAGTGAACGCCAGCTCAGCGGCGGAAAACCTCAGATTCAGAGTACTCGTTCGACGGCCTGATGCGCCTGAGGAGACGATGAAGTACTTGGGGTGCGGCCGATGCAATCAGATGGCCTTGTCCGAATCGTTCAAAGTACCCATGTCGTGCAAGAAAGCGATCTCGAAATGCGTATGGAGTCTCTTCGAAAAGCTTAATCCCCCCATCAAGGACATCCGGGGCATGGGTATTACGTTGTCAAAGTTCACTCCTTTAAAAGATGTCCCGAAGATCACAAGACTTGACGCGTTTCTGGACAAACTCAGTCGAGTCGAAGTCTCCACTGCCCCCGAGAACGAAGATAGGAGCGTCGCCCAAGACTCGTCGACGCCAAACATAGAGGATCTAGAAGTTTACGTCTTCTCGAGCGAAGACGAGCCTGACGACATCACGATGTTGGAACTGGACGACCCGGTGCCAGCTGTGAAAAATGTTCTGAAGAAAACCTCCCAGCCGAGCAAACAGAGTAAGAAGGTTATCGGCAAGAAAGGGAACCAGAACTGGAAGAAGACTTCCACCAAGGGTCAGCTCGATATCCGGAAGGTAATCGAATTCGGCAAAGAACTCCGAGGAGAAAAACTCGTTCCAGTGAAGGAAAATCGAGCGTCGACATCGAACGTGGTCGAAGCTTCGCCGCAGAAGCAGCCGACAGCTGCGAAAAAGGTGAGCAATGCATCTGACTGGGTAAGCTCATCGAATCTCAGAGGGGAACCTCATAGTGAATGAAACGCCTTCTTTTCAGAAAATTTCGTTCGGACCAAAGAAACTTTTCCATCTGAACAAGCTCTTGAGAGAATGGGTGACGAGCGGGAGCGCTCCATCAGCGGAGGACGTCGAGGCCTGGCTCGAGGCCTTCAAAAAAGTTGTTCTCGTAGACCCAAGATCGTGTACAATCCTTCTACGAACATTCATTCGTCTCGCCCCAGACGATTGGTCGGAATGTGTTAACAGCGTTCGGAAGCAATTGCAGACTTTCGTCGATCTCAAAATCCAGTCGGGCGAATTGTCCATCGCTCTGTGATAGCAAGATGCAGTGTGTTGTTGGCGTGTTCATTTTAAGTAATGTCTATGAACTTTGTCTTGTGATATATACATATATTGCGAACCCACAGCAGATGTGCGCGGTTTTTATTTCTATAGTCAACGAGCTACAATAATAACTACGACTCGGCAGGAGGTGTTGGGTTCTTGAGCGATTCGATGAATTTCGCCCGAAGTTGGGCTTTCATTGGAGTACCTTTTGCTTTTTGTTCCTGCTCAAGAAGCTTCCACGTTGCTTCTCGGATGTGGAGACCGAACCACTCGGCTTCTTCTTCGGGTATGATGAATTCCGCATATTTCTCCAAAATCTCTTTTCTTCTCTCTGGATTGTCTGGATATATTTCTCTGCGGGCCATGGCCAGAAGCATTTTTCTCCTTATATCTAACGCCATCTGCGAATTCAAGTCTTGGACCGGAGTTTTCAGTATGTAGTTGTCGAATCCAAAGCTCTCATCGATCAACCTCAGAGCGTGGTCCGTGGTCTCGATCTGGAAGCAAGGAATAGTTTTTGAGCGGAACTTCGATACAGACAGAGGTTTTTCAGTGAAGCGAGAGCGATTTCCGATGGCTCCCGAGGACTCCGAATACATGACCGACCTGGAAATGCTTGTCGAGAATTTCCGAATAGAGCACGTTCTTCGTGACGTACGGCACCCACAGTGTGGGCACCGTCCCGCGACCTTTTTTCCTCAGACGGAAGCCTTTGACTGCCTCTTCACCGCCCCACAGTCCTCGCTGAGACTCGGGAAGGAAAATAGTTGGTATCCGGGCATCCGGTACCTTGAAGACTAGGTGCTGTGAGGCGTCGTACCGAAGTTTCTCTGCCGGTGGCCTACACATAACTCTCGCGCGCGGTCTCCTCATGTCCGCGAGGAACTGCTGATAACACTTCGGAAAACGCTCCGTTATCGGACGGAACTTGGTCCCCATAGTGGCCATAACGATTCCGTCGAGCCTTCCTGTACGAGCTCACTCGAAAAAGTCCAACCGACTTGCGATCTTGAGATCTTCCAACTCAGACGTAGTGTCGCTTTCCACTGGGTCCGTCCGAAGGGAGAGACGCACGATAATAACAAAACATATGTGCGAGGACTAGATGCGGCAGGGTGACCGGCACTGCATTCCCCGTTTTCCTCGATGCACGATCCCTAAATTCGACACAGATGGTACCCAAGATCTTATTCACTCGCCATGCGGCGGGGAATCCTTTCGGATTCGGACTCGTCGAGGTCGAGCATACGGTTTGAGCCGTTGTTGTCTCGCTCAGGCTCTCGTAAGCCGAGTTGAGAGGAGGAACCTGACCCCGAGAGAGAATATCTCGAGCAGCTGAAGTACGAGACTCTCGAATACTCGTCTCTCCTGTGTAAATACAAGATCGGACAGTTTCGGCTACGCATCGGGAACTGGTCCGATATTTGTTCAGATGTGAACAGCATGTGAAGTCCTCCGATGGTAAGTGACTCCGCTGTCATGTTCGGTTTTCCAGAAAACTATACAAGTCGTCAATGCACAGAGCCGCTCAAAATTGCATCGCGATCGTATAGCTTGATCGTGATCGGGTAGAGCGAGTTTTCTCCGTAAATTTTCGAGGATCTATCTGCCAGTGCCAGGAATCAGGAAATTTGGATGTTTCGATCGAATAAATCTCCCGGCAGACACCACTGCGACGCTCGCTTGATCAGCACGTTTTTCGAAAATTTGTGACCCGCTGGCGACAACTAGGTGGGAAGGCTCTGACCGCGGTCCGTTCGGAGGGAGAAGAAATGTTCATACCTTTCGGGCTGAACATTGATGACGATCAGTGCGAGGTCGAGGAAAGAAAATTGAGATTTCCTTCGATTCCGGTGTGCGATGGATAGCGCCTTCCAGAGGCGGATGTAGCTGTCAGATTCGACGGAACCTTGGCCCATATGATCAAGACAATGCGCACCTGGCTAGCTGACCGCCTGTCTGTCGAACTGGCCGAGAGTTACTGTCACCGTTTCCAATAAACCTTGTTGAATTCAATTCGAATTCAATTCAGTTCCAAACTCAGAAAATGTAAGACGGGATGATCGGAAGCGTCGACGCTCGGATCTTCCCGTCTCAAGCCACAGCGGGAGGCAGATTCCTGATATCGGTGTTCTACCTTTCCAGATATCTGCCTTCGTGTGGAGCAGTTGCTTGGTGCTGCTCCAGCTCACTCAGGCGGAGGTCAGGGTGACGTTCACAACAACAACCATTCCCGATGAATATCTGGTACACTTCAAGCACTACTTGTTGCCGGTGACCAGGCAACGATACATCCAGGCTGGTTTACGGGACAAATACGAAGTTTTACCTCGTTCCAAGTTCCGTGACATTGCGAGTGACTTCGAAGTCATACGGTACAATGGCGATCTGGCGCGGTTGCGGGATCATCCAGAAGTCAAATACGTAAACCATCACAAGAGCGTTCGACGGCTCTTCTCCGTCATAAATTCGACCGAATCGGATGCAAGCAACGAACCAGATGTACATAAAGTCAAGCTGAAGAATGAAAAGAAGTCAGCCCCGACGAAGAAGAAGAGAAAACAGTCTTCGAAGTCCTATCACAGTCCTGAAGTGTTCATGGGTCTTGTCGGGGAAGCCCATAAGACCCGAAAACTTCTGAGGGTGATTAACACCAAACAAGTGACCCAAGTCCTCCAGGCCGACACGCTATGGGAACTCGGTAAGCTCGAATTCTCTGTTCTGGCGTTGAACGGATTCCGCCGGGAGAGCACAATCGTGTGTTCCCTCCTCAGTAGGCTTCGCGCAGATGCGTTCTAATGAGCTTTGCCCCCCTAGGCGTGCGTGGCAAAGGTGTGCGTGTGGCGGTTTTCGACACGGGACTCGCTAAGAGCCATCCGCATTTCAAGCAGATTTACGAGAGAACCGACTGGACGAACGAAAAAACTACTGAAGATGGTCTCGGGCACGGTGAGCACTCTGAGTTTCAGCCCAGGGAAGAAATCCGAACAATTCGGAGCGAGAGTTTTTCCCCCCATAAAAATTATCGGGCCCAAGCCTCCATTTCGAATCCCGATTCTAGGGACCTTTGTTGCCGGCGTCATTGCCTCGTCTCATCCAGACTGCATGGGCTTCGCTCCAGAAGCCGAGCTCCACGTTTTCCGGGTCTTCACTAACAATCAGGTGTCATACACATCGTGGTTCCTGGACGCATTCAATTATGCAATATTGAAGAAAATGAACGTATTGAACCTGTCCATTGGGGGTCCGGACTTCATGGACAAACCATTCGTGGACAAAGTCTGGGAACTCACCGCAAACGGGATCATCATGATCAGGTGAGATCTCCGTTCCGAGAGCGTTCCCATCTCGCAACGAGAGCCCGCAAGCTGACCTCAGCTCCCCATTTCTTTCTTCAGCGCGATCGGAAACGATGGACCACTTTATGGAACTTTGAATAACCCCGCCGATCAAATGGACGTGATCGGCGTCGGCGGCATAAACTTCGAAAACGAAATTGCGAAATTCTCATCGCGGGGAATGACCACGTGGGAGCTGCCTAGCGGCTACGGCAGACTGAAGCCAGATCTTGTCACTTATGGTAGCACTGTTTATGGCTCCGCCATAAACGGAGGCTGCAGGTCGCTGTCCGGCACCTCGGTCGCCTCGCCCGTCGTTGCCGGGGCCGTGACGCTGTTGCTCTCGGGTGTGCTGGACCTATTCTCGTTGGTGAATCCTGCTTCCATGAAGCAGGCGTTGTTGTCTTCGGCGAGAAGACTTTCCGGTCCGAACATGTTCGAGCAGGGTTGGGGCAAACTGAACCTAATCGAAGCTTATCAGGCGCTTCGAGCCTACACCCCTCAGGCGACAGTGAGTCCCTCCTACATCGATTTCACAGAATGCCCCTACATGTGGCCGTACTGCACTCAACCCCTCTATCACACGGGGCTCCCAACTATTGTGAATGTCACCGTTCTCAACGGCATGGGCGTGAGCGGCCGCTTCGTCGAGCCGCCGCAGTGGAAGCCGTATCTGCTTCAGAACGGTCATGTACTGAACATATCGATGAGTCATAGCGAGGTTATCTGGCCCTGGAGTGGGTATTTAGCTTTGCACATCGTCGTCAATGAGAGAGGTGCGCAGTTCGAAGGTGTCGCACAAGGCTTCGTGAGCATCACCGTGGAGAGCCCGCCCGAGAAAGGCAGCGACAAACCACGCACATCGGTCGTGGAGCTGCCAATCAAAGTCCGAGTGATTCCGACGCCCCCTCGGCACAAACGGATTCTCTGGGACCAGTTTCACAACCTGCGCTATCCCCCGGGATATTTCCCGAGGGATAATTTGAAGATGAAAAACGATCCCCTCGACTGGCATGGGGACCATGTCCACACGAATTTCAAGGAACTCTATACTCATTTACGGAACACCGGCTACTACGTAGAAGTGCTCGGTGAACCGTATACGTGTTTCGATGCCAAAAACTACGCTGTTCTCCTGATCGTAGATCCCGAAGAAGAGTTCTTCCAAGAAGAGATTCTAATGATCAAGAACGCCGTGCGAGACGAACAGTTGAATATCGTTCTATTCGCAGACTGGTACAACAGTACGGTCATGCAAAAAGTTCGTTTCTACGATGAGAACACCAGACAGTGGTGGCTGCCAGACACCGGTGGAAGCAACGTGCCGGCACTCAACGAGCTCTTGGCCTTGTGGAATATTACTCTCGGCGACGGAGTCTTCGAGGGCGACTTCAAGCTCGGCAAGCACGACATGAACTACGCCTCGGGAACAGAAATTTCGAGTCATCCGAAAGAAATGCTCACCATCTCGAAAAAACTCAATGACCAAGGCCTCGAGATCATCGAGGGGGAGGGGGCGAATACCACACCGAAGAAAACGCAGGACGCCGTCATAGCGGGTATCCTGCAGACGAAAGTCGACGATCGAAAAGCGGGACGTCTAGCGGTCTATGGGGATTCGAACTGCCTGGACTCGGCGCATCTAAAGCGGGAATGCTTCTGGCTCCTGAACGCCTTCTTACAGTGGAGCACCACGGGACAGGCGCCACCGATCTTCAATCGTAAGGACGTTCGACCCAAGGAGAATGAGATCGCGACTCGGTCGAGCGCGCAGCGCATGAAGGGTAAGCTTTCAAGAAAGAGACGAAAAACAGAATCAGAATGTCGTTTTCGCTCAAAGTATCGTTGGATGGCAATCCCTCATTCCAATTCCTTTAATTTTTCTCCCAGGGAACAATTTGCACAAATACTCTAAAGTGATAGGCGCGGCGGGACAGCATCCTCCTACAGAATGCCGGATTCTCAACTTCAGTGAACCTGTCGTGGTGAACTCATCGGCGCCGAGCGAAGTCTACAAACCGCAGAAGTTGCTATCCATAGATCTGAACTTGTTGCCGCCTCCTGTGAAGATTATCCAAAGATTAGACGACGACCAGCTCCTTCCTAATGGGGACGTTCTCGTTAAACAGGACTCCGTGGTAAGTCGCAGGATTCCAACCATTCGCTGTTTTGCCTGTTCCTGCCCAAAGGCGAAGTACCATGGCACTAACGGAAAGTCTTTCTCGCATTCAGCATGACAGGGCACTGGGCGAGAGCGGACTCTCGATTCCTTCGGCATGGCTTTGGTTTCTGGTGAAATACGGATCGGCTCTTTTGGTATTCTATCTTCTGCTACGAGTGTTCGTGCGGAGGATCATTCCTAGGCTCCTCTTCTTGGGACAAAGAACTCGTCAGGTCACAGTCGCCTGAATCGGTAAAAACCTACCTTAATTGAGGGACAAGGGTGAAAAATATCGGAAAACGTCTGGTCCCTTACGGTCGATTGATTGCAGCGGCAGCAGCATCCGGGCTTCGAAAAGGAGAAAGACTTCGCTGAGGACCAGGTGGTGCATATCAGTCGGATGACTTTCAAATTACGAGAAGGACGCTCCGACGAAGGCACGGTGCACGTAGAAGTGCATGAGACGATCATCCTTGACGAAGAGAAAGAGTCACTTTTCCATGACGAACTGTAGCTCACGTCCCGCATTTCAATCCACGTCGGCGAGCCTCTGCGTTGGCAAAACTGTTGTTCGGCCTCTCATAGCCTACTCATGTGATCTTGTGTGAATGCCTGACGGAGGTGACGCAAATTGTGACCCGATTTTTCTACGGTAGGATCTTCTTGGCGCAGTCCCTGACGCACCTGGAGGGTATGCTGTATCTTCATTTGTTAGGACCCTGTTGAATTCGCACCATGTACATATAGAGGGCTGACTGCTTAATAGACGATGATGTAAGGAATATGTTCCATAGATTGTGTCAGATGAGCTCGAACACCATCGAGCGAGGAAATCCTATGAACCATCGAATAAAATAATTTTGTACGAGGGAACCACCCTGAATTCTCAAATCCCAATTCCGGTGAGGGCTTCTCGCCTGACTCTTGGGTGGATCATGCGGGGTGATTTTAGGCGGACCGTCTCTCGGAGAATCGCGACCGAAGTCTGGAGTCCTACTATCACTTCTCTCGGATCGATTGATCTCTGTTTTCAGCATGGACCTGCACAGCTCAATGATGAATCTTATTTAGTAGGTGTTATCCGGGAGTGCTGGTGAGATGCCAATACTGGCAACAAATCCCGAGACGAAGGAAGTTGAGGATTTACTAGGAGCTTAGGATTATACACCCTCGTGATCCTCCCGTCGATCGACTGAGCAGCACAGAGAGAAAACAGCGTTCTTGACCGAATCCGAATTTTATTCATCTGATCAGCGAAACTTTAAAGTATCGAATTTACTTTGAGATCCTGATCTGAATCAAATTGATGCTTGAGGAAAATCTTGTCATGAGCAATGAGAAAGAAAACTGCTAATCGGAAAAGGAATTCGTGAGACCGGATCCCTTGGGGGTCTGATGAGAGATACAGTTTTCCTTCTCTTGTCTGATGTGTTAACACGTTACAATTTTCAGGTACTTCTGTCTGACTTCTGGAATTCTCAGAAACCTGTACCTCGAGATGAGATTCAGCGATCCCGACCACGACCGGTCTGAACCATATCGATGAGACGCGGCGCTACCGCTTCACGACGATCTTCGCTTGATCAACTTCTTCAGACTGAATCTCACCTCGGAGCCAATGTTGAAGGCATTCGGATTTTGGACAAAAATCGTCTCGACAGCTGCCCCAGGGACAGTGTGAATTGTGATCAACGCGTGAAGCTGCCTTCTGGCTTCTAACGTTCATTCCGAATCATTGTGAATTGTCTGAGGGAAGACCCTAGGGGTCTCCAGTAAATTGTTTGAATCATTGTACTCAACACCTGAAGCCGCCGATAGAATTTCTGAACAGCAGCTCTTGTCGAGATGATTCCGATCGAATTTCCCTGGTAAGTCCGGGAGATATGAACGGCCTCCAGTGCTGGACATTTCGTCCGAAACAAACCTATCGCCACAATATCTGATGGTTCCTTTCCTTCCCGAATCGAGCGCGAACACTCACTCGATCACATAACCACTCAACGCGCGTCTGTAGCCTCGTTCGAGAATTCATTCGAAATAACTTTCCTCTGCAGCGTTTCGTGCGCCGGGGCCGCCCGGAAAGCCCTCATCCAACTTCCGCTTGACGAATGACCGAGCTTCCCATCGGTCCGTGAAAATAGAGTTTCCTCGTCTGATAGCATACTTTCATGATAAGTTTTTTCGAATGTGACTGCATTCGTAATGTTGAGCTGGCTTAGGAATCGGCATATATATCCCGGCGCATAGAGGATGCGGAATAGACGAATAGAACGAGAAGATTCTCGAGAAAGTTTCGATCCGAAGTTTTCGCTTCACTGTCCGCGTTTCTTGGTTGAATCCTTTCCTTCATTCCACGCTCCAGCCACAGTGAGCGACAGGTCGAGAACATCAATCCTCAATGCGTCGTTACTTCTCCGGCTCAGGACAGAATTCACTCGCTGATTGGGTGATTGCGCGCCCGATCGTTGCTTCCGATTTGAAAGCTTGATCAGGTGTAACGTCAGAGCCGCATCGTTCCTTTCCCTCTTCTTTGAGTCTGTTGTGAAGAGTAAACCTATCTAGATAAATGATCTTTTTTACAGGGAGCCTGTACACGATTTACAAGCGGAACAGCTTCCGAGTTTCTCTCTAGAATCGCCACAAGAGTGACGAAACCAGGATACGTTAGGCGACGCGAGCCAAAAGTATTCAGTCATCGCTCGATACATCGATCACTCGCTTACTCCAAGAGTCGGTAGATCGATCTCATCGCTCCTTCGATTTCCTCCATCGATCTACGTAACTATGATTTCATCTGTAACAGTCACATTATGTCCAATCAACTAAGTAAAGAAACTCTGTGGTCTGTCGGAGAAAATCGACGGCCGGTCGAGCAGAAAATACGCGAGTAATCCACGAATTTTTCCCGGCGCTACACCCCTCCACCGGTCACTGGGGCTCTACTTTCGCAACATATAAGACCGATCTTTGTCCCGTCTCTCGGTCTCCCTCGATCATATCACTAGCTTCCTCCTAAGCTTTTTCGTTCCGACGATTGCTTCCGTACCACGGAAAGAATGGGAATTTCTCTTCGGTCGAAAATGAGTTCGAATTCGAAAATTTGAGATCGCTTCCCGATGAACCGCTCCGTTCCTTCCAATGTCTTGAATAGTATTGACGATAACCGTTGAGAAATCGTCCGTTTCCGATGATTATTATCACTCCGTCCCTCCTCTGTGTATACCTAGCCGCTTCTCAGAGTCACAGAGTTTCGCTTGACGTCAGGTAGGAGACGATCACGCCACGTCGAAACCGGCGGGGACCGGTTCGCTGTGTTCTAGGCGCGTCTGATTCTGGCGACGAAACCGTCCTGAGGGTAGAGACCTTCGGCAGTCACATAGACCTTTTCGTAAAGTTTCGCCGGTATGCCGAGATCTCCAATGTACATCTTGCACGCGGCGTCGTTTTCGACCGGGACGGAGGATAGTAGCGGCAGGAGAGGGAATAGGACGAAGTTGGCTAAATTCGCTGAGTAGAACGGAGGATCCACGAGGAACACACTTGTTGACGGCCATTTCGCACACTGGTCCAGATAGGGGTGGAGGGTGCAGCCCACAACTAAATCCACTGGGATGTCCAGCATCTTCGACCCGTCCACTATTTTCACACCGGCCATCTCACAGAGTTCGAGTTCAGAGCGGAAGACGACGTCGTCGTCTCTCACAGTGCGATTCGTCATTATGTACACTTTCTTGACTTTTCCAGCGAGCTGTCGAGCAGCCGTAATGCCGCTGAAAATGAATTCGCCCGAGTTAGGCAGATGGTAGAAAAGAATTTCGGCGTCCGGTAGATTTCCGTCTGGATCTCGCTTCCTGCAGTCAGGACCTACCACAGGGAAATGTTCATTGGTCCAGACAGTGTTTCAGGAGATAGTACGAATACGACGGAATTCCGATTGTTTTGTTGAAGGATCACGCTGCAGATGTCTCTTGACATAGCTTCGCGGAGAGAATCGCTAGAAATACCCAATTTCGTAGCTTCCTGAAGGATCTTGTCTCGAGCGGATCGCGTGACAGCAGGGACTTTCGTTCCAGACGGTACTGTAATCAAGAACACAGAAAAATGGATACACTCTTTAGATCTAGACAGTCTCTTCTTGGTTCGGGGGGAGAGGGGTAGGGGGTCATGACCCGAATCGGGAGAGGAGACCTTGGGACGGTGCCCACAATTCCCCGGAGGGGATCGTCGCGCGATACCTTTCCGCAATCGAATGAGCTGGAATCTGTTCCGGGCGATGTTCGACGAAACCCAAGAACTCACCGACAGAGAACCAGACGGATCGCTTCTCCTCTCGTTGAACAATCTTGTCGGAGTTGGTGAGAACATTCTCGTCATGTCGGTACTTCTTCTCCTTGCGAATATTCGAGTCTGCGAGACGCACGACATTCGGGTCGCAAGTTTTGTTTATTTCGGCAAAGACTTTCTCCTTGTTGAACAGTCCGAGATTTTTCTCGAAGTCAAAGTCCTCCTGCAGCGACACCTGATCACTGTCGATGCCGAAGCACTCCTTATCTCTGTGAGCCCGTGAAGTGCTTAACGAGCTCGAAAACGTTCTTGTCCTCTGCTTTTGTGATTCCTTTTCCAATTTCGGGGTTTTCGGCGAGGATCGATTACCATTCGAATGATTCCTTTCCTTGAGGATAGGCGAAACCGACAGTTGGTTTAGGAACCTGATATCGGCGATATCAGCAGCCCTAATTGATAAGGAGAAAGTGTCGTTAGATAAGTGCTCGGATACCTCCCGCCTGACGATTCGCGCTCCTGAAACATCTGTCTCTCCAGGTTTTCATATACGAGATTAGGAGTGCGATTTGAGCGGATCGCGAAGAAGGGTAAATGGAACTTACGCGATAACAACATCGGGATAGAGTAATTTTTTTCCATTTTTGGAAGCTTTCGAGATGCTGACTGACTGATCGTCCTCGTTGACTGTCTGGATTATACCCTGATAGACTCCCAACACGGAACAGTCAATTTCAACGAGGGTTCCCTTATATTGATTGACGCTCATTGCGGATTCGTTACTTCAATGCTGAACAGATTCGCTGCGTGCGTGCGTCCTCGCTGAATATCTGGTAATTCTGTAAATCAAAAGACCCATGTTGGCAATCGATGAGTGCAGTCAGCGAGACGGCTTGACGACACAAACACTTCTTAATGAGGATGTATCGCTGTTCGCTGCCCGTGGTAGCCGTCCGCGTGCGCAATCTCGCAATCAGCTGCTGGGCTCATCCCATCGGAGTCTTGGTGACATAAAACGCAGCGATTGCGCCATTTTTCAGTATTCTCGAAGCAATCAGCCTTTGGGGCGAATACTTCACTGAACTCTTTTATTTTATTCGGAGGGATGAGTGATGAGTAAGGGATCAGTGAACTTGAAATTCCAAACTGTCAGGAAGGAGATCCATGGACCATGGGGCATAAGCAAAGGGATTCGGAGCTTCCCGGATTCCTCATGAGTCGGGCAAGAATTTCGTCTCGTTTGAATTTTCGGAAGCCTGATCCTGATATCGATGACTTGGCCTCCGACTGGGAGTTCGCGTCCCCTTTCTTCTCGAAGCTAGTCTAAGCTTCAGAAGCCTCCTTGAGCTGTTCCGACCAGCTGGCCGCTTTGGCTTCCGACTACGCAGCCGCGAACGGGAAGTAGCACTAAGGGCAACAGAGACGACAGCCTCGATACTCAGCATCTATGAATGCCTCTTGCCGCAGCGACGGCGGAAAAAACAAGAGCCCCGAAAACAGCAGCACAACCGCGGCAACCTCTGTGACCGACCCTAAACGATGCTCGCTCGCCGCATAAGTAGACAGCCTTCGCGGTCAGCGTATCTAGCTACAAGCGAAAGACAGATGATAACATACGGTAGAGCTGCCCGAAGCGTTGAGATGATCGTTCGACGCCTCCGTACTCGATGATTATCTAAACACTTTACTAGAATAAGACACTTTGCCGTTGCTTGTCGTCGCACAACGGGCAACTGCTCAGTTTTCGAGAAGTGCCGATTTTTGAGGGACAATCGTTCACATAAAGTCTGATTGAAGATCACATTAATTCAAGTCGATTCGGATCTCTTGGGGAAATCTCAACGAATCAACCTCGAACTCAAGTCGTGTTCACGGGAAAAAATCAAATTCTCTGTCGGATTTAAGTGCGACGTACGAATGCAACTACTTCTCCCTCCTTATCGTGTGTTATGGGTGTTATGGCTGCTGCCGTCGGTTGAACGACGGTGGCGCCTCTTCTCGGAATGAAACATGGCGGCGCTGATGGAGACACGGCAACTGTGCTCCGAGATCCGCTTACGCTGCTCCGCGGTTAATCCATGAAGGAGTTCGAATTGAATGTATGGTCATGAGTCTAATCGATCATATTATGATCTCGATCATTCGGGTCTCATTTCATGAGCTCGAGCTGGGCTTTCGATGACGCCACTCTCAAAGTCGTCTGGTTTGCCGCCGTTTTTCAAAAAGATATCAACATGTACCTAAAGCAAGAGCCCAATGATCATTATTATCGGTGAGGCTCGGAGGATGTCGGGAGCTCGGACGATCTCGTTTCTCGGCTCGGAATACCGCGCCTCGCCACGCCTCTTCGCCCAGAGGGGATATCTTCGACCATTCCACGCATCTCTCATTCCGACGCTTTCGATAGTCGAATGATGTTCGTCCGATGCGGCGCGACATGCTAGACGAAAAGTGCCCCGTCGCGCTGTGAAGCAGAAACTTCGTCTGGAAATTTGCGATTCACAGAACTATCCGATGACAATCGAAAGTCGCCCTCTCGATGGGTTCACCTTGAGTTGATTCCTCCTGTTCCATTCATCGATTCCAAACGAGGATTTCCTTTCGGAGCTTCCATTCGTAGGGGCTAAGTTTGCCATTTCGCGAATGAAGGGCCTTAGGCCCGTCTTAGATCCGGGGCCTATCATCTCCCTGTCATACTTCGGCCATAATTCAGTCCTTTCGCCGAGCAGGGGCGTGAGGCGTGATTCACAAATCAAAAGCATCAAAGCAGACTGTATCAGCGCAGACCCACAAGGAACTTACCGACTCCTCTCCTCCCTTTATAACCGTAGGCTCTCCTCTCAAGTCATAAGAGAGCCTCCCGCATTCGAGGGGTCATTGGTGTATGTCATCTATGTACGTGAAATCACGACCAGAACAGGTTCTTGAGGAGTCTCCTGTGGACCGTAATCGTGGATTTGACTCGCTCGTATCGTCGTATGTGATGCTTGACACTGTGTCGCGAAGATCTCGATTTTTCGGATGACGGAGATCCGAACGGAGACACGCTGCCTCAGCCATTTCAATTCAACTGATCGAGAGAAGTCTCGTGTATGAATGACCCAGGAGTGTCTCTCGCCAAGATCTCGGGCGCAATTCAGAACCAGATATGTACTTATAACAGGTTCGAGTGAAGTTCCGCTTGAGACTCTTCCGCCAACCCGGATTCCGGATAGGAATAAAGCGGGACTCACTGCTGACTGCGGGGTACGGTAGTGTCCGTAAGCGATTCGTACGGGAGACCGAACTCATTTCGGGACCCGGATTCTGGAGCCGAGATGAACCACAGAACCCTTCCGCAGACCGCGCCCAGCAATGCACAGCAAGCGCATGTGAACGCTTCCGATCCCGTCTCCCTTTCGTAGCTGGTATCGCTTCATCGTTGAAGTGGAAGGATTCGGGGAACTGAGGGAGGAAGTAAAACGAAGTCTCCCCCTCTCGGGATAGATCTGGTGCGCGTGGTTTCCTTATAAGGCTCCTTTATCCCTTCATCGCTTGCAGGAAGCAAAGTTCACTTTCTCCATCGATGTGGCCGGAAACCTCGCTGTCTATACCTCCGACCCACGCAGATATACAGGCAATCGGTCAGAGAATACGAAAAAACGAGGAATGAATTGTTTTGCGCCTTGCTGTTGGCTTGATGATAAATTATAATAGCTACCTTCCAGCCGACCCGGAGAATATAGGAAGCGAGCGAGGTCTTTTCCGGGATGAAGCCTGCCTCAAATTGAAGAAACAGCGCGCAGAATCCAGTAAATTTTTCCCCGATCCTGCTTTTCAGATCTCCACCAGGAGTGACCGTTCATCGCGAGCTTGCAATAAGATTATACACAGGCCCCGATCTGAACAAGACTTAATTCGACTTCTGTACGCGCTTCCCGGCTAAGTTCACCGGGCCGGAAAATGTTTACGGGCTGACTGGACGGGCTGTTGGCGGAATCTCGGGATTGAGTGCAGAGCTCCGTAGAGATCATGAGAGCCTCGGCACATTCTTGTTCTCGACGTGAGGCGGAGAGACGAGATGGAGTTCCTCACTATCTGATGGGGAGTTCCACCCGCAGGGGTTCCTCGTGAAATCAAATGGCGTAGGATGCAGGTTCAGCGGGAACATCACCATTCCTCATCCTGAGACTGCGATATACCGTCTGCCGCTACTGATAGAGTGATATCAATCAGTTGCTTCGTCCGCTCTGACAATCGGAGAACATCTTCCCGACCTCGATACCGTAAACGGAATGAGATGCTTGCACCGGGCTTAGAGTGTTTCGTCGAAAGTTCCGTGGGAAATTGTTCATCGAAGGATCAGCCTGGGAGAACATCGCGCCGTGCCGCTCGCCTAAGATTCGCTGACCCGGATGAGCTCAGCAGAATTCAATACTAAACATCATTGCGCCAGTCGTCATGAGGAGTTTTTGGCATGGACCAAGAATACTGATGATGGGTAAATTTTGAAGCATCAAGAAATCGATATAGCGGTCCTCCATTGAAGAAATCCTCCCGAGAACCCCGGGGAAGAGACGCCCCTCTGATTTCATTCGTCGAAGTAATACGATCCATTCCTTTTTCGTCAAACTCGCAAAAGGAACTATTTTATATCCGGCCATCAGAGCGATCCTTGAATCCGCACATCGGAAGGCGTAATATTCCTTGACACCGAATTCGTTAAAGCCTCACTGTGGAAGCTTCTCTTAACGAATCGCATAAGACGAACTGCGGACGATTCCGGGTCCCCTCCCGATATCCGGAACCCCCGAAGACCCCTCAGCTCGAACGTTTGTTGACGATTCACCTATTTTATCGGACAGAACATCTGGGAGTTTTTTATGACGATCAAACATAAATGTACAAGACACCTGATTGCTGTTCGATATGTCTTCACTCGCCGGCTCAGCGTACCAGCTCGATTTCGGGGTTACTCCAGACTCGGGTCAACGAGGCTCCTGCGTAATGAGAGAGTAGCCCTGCCTGAGAAACGTGAACGAGTAGTGGACGCCGTGCCGACTGGATGGAGAGCACCAGGAGCAGCTCCGAAACCTCTCAATGTGCACTGTATCGCTCTATAACAGACCTTACCAGCCTGAAAGATCAGGGTCACCTGTAAAAATTTTCACCAACGTCCTAGGTTTCGTCAGCTCTACGACATGTATCCGGGAACACAAATCGATCCGTGGTCGGGATTTTCGATCATGATGTCATGAGAATGAAGTCCGCAAGGTTGACACATCCATGATTGGATAGGCGATAACAGTCACCCCTCTACTTCCGCCGGAAGATTAGACCCTGCACGCACGGTGAACCGAAAAACCAGACAAATTCCATATCAGCCTGTAGATTTTACGTAATCAATTTTAGAGAATGAGAACAAATGCATTGGATCATCATTCCTTACACAATTCGTTTTTGGTGACCTTCTTGACCCCCAGAAAAGTACTGCTGCTGATTCCTCGTCCCGTGTCCCGGTGGGAAGGCTGCTGCAGACAGACGGACCTGGAGTGTTGACACCGGGAACATATTCCGCTTCGCTTCATACCGGAGTGCTTCGATTGTCAGCTGCCACCAGAAACACGACAGACGAATGTTAATTTCGTTTGGCATTGCCGTCATGTCGTTCGCATCCTTCTTTTTGAAAGCTATCAAAAAATTGTCCACGTATCCGGCTCGTGAGTCGAGTATAACGCCCCCTCGAGCTTGTTGGCTGTGATTCTCGGGTCGAACTTTTTTCCATGTCGGTTGAATCGAACGAACCCGCCGAAAGATAGGAAAGCACTCACGCATCCGTTTAAAATGACAAAATTTGATTTTCCTTGATCGCAAGGGGATTATCGGGTAGCTTTATGTAACGCAGATGTGGTTGTGCGGCATTCGTCGATTAACTCCAGATTTCTGGGCGCTTCTGGGTCTTTGGCCTTGGAAGGTCTTCCTGAAGCGACGGTGAGTCTCGCCAAGAGCGCCAGACGTCCAAACGGTTCGAAATACATGGTGTCTTTCGTGGCGGTGCCGGAGCGCGCTACTCATCACAAGCGAACGAGCGACTGCGAGGGAGCCTCTGGTGCTCCGAGCATCCAAGCTCCGAGAAAACACTCAGTGCCAACACACCGTCGGTGAGTAAGGCAGTCGGAGGTTCTGGAGACAAAGGCCCTCAGGATCGTCCCCAGAGGATATGCCTTGAGGAACTTCGAGCGAAAAGTGACACCGCGCGGAACAAGTGCGAGGGATAGAAAAGGCGCGGCGAAAAACGCCCGGTGGCACGAGTGTGACCAGGCTTCTGATCGCTCCTGGCGATGATTCTTCTGTGACTGATGGTTTCGGTGGTTCAGTGGTTCCTCATGGGGGAATTCTAGGAAGAGAAGATGCTCCCGGTGCTCTCCAGGATATGATGAGGTTCCAACGCTGAATTAACGGAGCTCCATCCCTCGAGTCGTCGATTAAGATTCGGTAATCTACCTCGCAGGGATGAAGTATATGGAGTACATATCCCGGATTCTTCGCGACGTCCTCGTGCCAGCCGCTAATGGAGGCGTACCAACGACTATGGACGGAATCCGTGATCATAAAAATGTAAGTAGTTGTAAGGATTGGAAAAATATCGGAGAAGTTCGACTGGAAATGCTGGAGAAGGAAAGCCAAATATAACAAGCTCGCAAACGCTCAAGAGGCCCGAAGGAGTACATCAAATATTTATTCTCCATGATCAGCGATCGTACATGGATTGATTCGGATCTACTTGTCAGAGGCAAGCCGGAGAAGATGCAGCTCCTCTTCGGGGACCTCTTCTGGGAATGCTCTTCAGTCACTAGGACCCGAAATCGATCTTGGTCTCTTGCCAGAAACGAGATGGCATCCTAGAGTCGATCGGGGTTAGTAACCGGGAGAAACGCACAGAAATTTGACGACGCGCAAGTCTTGTCCGCTAAATTGCCGCGTGCGGAGCCTTGTGATTAGCGATAAGTGCTCCGGTCGCACAAGCGGGCGCAGTGCATACCGACTTTTGGAAGCGGCTTATCCTACCAGCCCTAACTCCCATTCCAAGCGGGTAAAATTCAATCCGCAATGAAAGATCCATGTCGAGCACGGGGTCATCCTCCGCACTTATCCTCCACACTCGATGCGCTGAGCTTGATGACACGAACTTGGCATGCGGACCTATCGCGAGTCATGATTCAATCTCACTTTATGAATTTCGAGGTCAAGTCGGGGTGCGGAATGACGCAATCCTTCATTCGTGTCGCTAAACTTGACAGTCCTTCCGACTTTCATCCTATCATTCGCAAACGAAGCTGACGCTCGGAACGGAAGGTAGAAAGCCATTCACTTCGCGTCAACGATCTGGAGAAGGAAAGCGCTCGCTTTTTCCTCCCACGAGGTGCTCCACATGAAATCAGAGACGAGGGGCATTTCCTATTGGTTTATTAACATTTTCTTATTCACAATGACTAATTAAAACTCCGAACTCCCCTCTTCGCTGTGGGCGGGATCCCGACTCGTATCGCCCTTTTGGCACTGACATAGGTACTTAGAGACCGCCTCCATCGCACTTACAAGAATTAGTCGTTTCGAGCCTATTTTTACATTTATTACCCCGGAGGAATATCGAAGTGAATTTGGGAGATTCCACACTTCGTATATCTGAGGTTCTCGTCGTTTCCATCAGATCTCCACCCTGTTAATCACTTAAATAATTATCCATAAATACTGGGACGGCTTCAACAAGACTTGTCCGGTATTGCGCAGGCTCTCAGCTTGCGATGTTGAGTGAGAGCGGTGCTGTGTCGGATACCGTGAGAATCTTTAGCTCCGCGGAATCTACGACGGGCTGCTTGTCTGGTGTTCGGGCTTTACTTTCGGCTCGTCGTACGAAGGTAAAGTACGAGTACGCCAAACTTCCCGCCATTGAGATATTCAAACCAAGGAAGTTTGTCCAAGTGAAGATGTAATCGCCTCCTATGTGCATTCCAACATAGGTAACCATGATGTTCTTCAGACATCCAACGATTGTCGTCGTGAGAGCTGAATTATGGGCAGTGCATAAGAGAGTGCTGTACATCAGAGCGAATCCCATAAAACACGACGATAGGAAATATGTGACGAAAATTGGATCCTCCCACTTTTCGAAGCCAAAACTATCCCTCAAATCACCGGTCCACGTGGCTATCACGAACAAGGGCACAATCATAACGAGAGCGTTGTAGAAAAGAAGACCGTATTTCCCCAAATCCTTCGCATCCAGCTTTTTCTTTGTGTACACTCCATTGGCTGCGGTGAAGAAGTCGTTGAGCAAAACTGATGTGTACCCTTCGAGGTCGAACGCCATATCCTCCAAAGCGGCAATGATCGCTCCCATGACCATCGCGATGACCGACATCACAATGGCAGGTGGAGCGACGGATTTGAGGATGTAGTACTCTCCGAACAGAGTCATTAGAATTGAGAAACGTCGCAGAACAGTGAACATTGGTAGACTTAAGCGTTTGGTTCCAATGAACCCCGAGACTAGATTGCCCACGTAGAATACAGGCAACGGGAAAACCTTCCTAAGCACTCGCGTCGATGGAGCGGGAAAATCCACAACTTTGAGTTCTCTGAAAGGAAGAAAATCAGTGAGCGTTTCCGAGAGTATTTTCGAGTTCAAAAATCAGGGCACGAGGAGTCGTTGAGGGCATCTCTGATCGATTGCGGCTCATGGGGAACTTGACCGCCATCAAAGCCTTAAGATCGGGATTAGCGTGAGAACAAGTGATTTTCCGATAGCATAGCATCGTTCTCGATCAAGAAGGAAGGGAGCGAGATTGTCTTGGATCGAATTTTCCCAGGGCTCGGTATTACCGAGTCGGTAATCGACTCGGGCTCAGACCCGCTGATTGAGACCTGATGGAGAAACCATTCGTTTGCATGGATGGCATCGTCCTCGAGCACATGCTCTGTATGCCTTGAGCTAATCATGCCTCACGAACTCGGGTGATTCCCCAGCTGTCACGAGATTGGGCTGTCATGGGAAATATCTGTCGAACATTCAACGAGCATCGCCAGAAGCATCGATTGACCGCGTAACACCTCTCGAACTCGAACTTCGATATCCTCTTGGGAAAAATCGCCTGGTTTCCCGAGGTGTCATCGATGGCGCTCAGAACTTACCTCAATATCAAGAGCACGATGATGGCCGTTGTCATCTGACCGAGCCCGAGGAACATGGGACTCGGAAACGAATACGATGTGAGTACTATCTTGTTGACCACCATTATCAGGAACGACACCGCTCCGTAGAGCAGCGCACTGAACAATTTCATGAAGGCGGCGGATTTTGCCATACTGTTCGAATTCTATTATCGGTTCTGGAGCACTGCACAAATTCTCTTCATCACGTCATGTAAATCCAGAGGAGCTGTACCATCTGGAGAATTCTCTGTGAGCCCATTGATTAGCGGCCGCCTCGACTGCAGATCTGGAAATGAGCACCACTCGGTCCAGCTCAGAGGCCCGGTGTCCGGCTAGCGTTGCTCCTTGTCATGGTCGCTCGGCGAGCACCGGCTAGCGAGCCGAAAGCAGCAGCTCTCCGGCTGAACTTTTCACTCACTGTAGCGGCAGCCACTGGTTGTCCCGTCGGGGAGAGAACACGCAGCCTCGAATGTGCACACATGCTGGTCTCTGGAACAACAGCCTCTACTCTTTTCCCGCGTGTTCGGAACGACAGTGTTCCTTTCGCACTCCTCTAATGACACTCAGCCTGTTCATACCGCCGCCGTAATTTCCTCCGACGACGTCGAACGACGATGAGTGGGCTGCCGCCGTCCGAGAGGAGAGGGGGCAACGATTGTTGGAAAACAACAACATCCAACAGGAGCAGAAAACGCGACCGTCACTGAGAACCTCCGACCGCTTCTGAGACGACTGCTGCGTGGCACCGTCGGCTTGGCCTCGGCCGAGCTGCCGCTTGCCACCTCGACGTTGCGAGGTGCGTGCCGTCAAGCGGAGCGCTGCGCGCGAACCGCGACCGCGCCGCTGATGATCCCGTTGCCTTGCTCAGGGCTTCTGACACATGACCCTCGACGCCGGCAGGTGATGAAATTCCCGGGAGACCCCGATCGGTTTTCGGTCTGTAAAGGTCTCGGATACAGAGGTTCGGCAACATTCAGGATACCGCGTAAAAGTCGGGGAGCTCACATGATTCACACAGAAAACCTTCGAAGCCGGGAGCAAGGATTTCTTAAGTTCGAAATGGCGCGCGCTCCAAATCCAAGATCGTCTGCTCCAAGAGCTCGGCAGCTCTCTCCGTAGTCTCTGTAGAATCTGCCCATGAGAGAGTGAGAGCATCCGACCTGGGGACCTGGGGAGTGTCAGCGCCGCGCCCGCCGGCGCCACTTGCAGCGCCGCTGCTACTTACTCTGTCGTAGACGTAGAAAGGGTGGTGGTGGTGTTGTGGTACTACAGACACACACGCGCAGACACACTCATACACACAAACGCACTCCGCCGCAGCACGGGAGAGGCAGCCGTAGAAAGAAAGGCAGTCGGCCACCCAGCGAGCCGCTTGGACAGGCCAAATACAAGAGACGATAGCGGTACTACACGAGACATAAAGTTCTGCGTACGCTTGCCGTGTGTGTGTTACGGCTCTGGAGGTTTGAGATCGCTCCTGGCCTCGGACCGAGCCGCGGAGTTTGAAGGGTCGTGAGAAGCAGCGCATTGACGTTGACCTGATCTATCATTCCGGCATGTGAGACCCTCCGACGAGATGAATGAATTGATTCACGTCAATCCTCTGAAGTATCCACCGACAGGAAGCGCGAAACCACAGGTTAGTTTTTCCAATCTGGCAGCCCGGGACTCGAACCAGAGTTCATTCGAGCAACACTGAGTCTCTGTGACAGTGTACATGGCAGTGCCGACACGTTACTGCGCAAAAGCGCTCCCTTCCGCGCGAGAAGACTGCTGGATGTCCATTCTCAGTACTTATCATCTCATGATGCTCATTGATACGGGGCCAGAGATGCACTCCTCAGCGCACTGATCGCTACCGTCTCAGCCGCGTCCAGAAAACCTTAGTCGCTGATGCCGCCCCCCAAAGTCGCCGGGCAGCTCGAGGACAGGCACGCGAGCTGCTTTCGGCCCATCTTAGTTGCCTATTCTGATGATCACTGACAATCTCCTTGC